GGAATTACATTATTAATACCTTTGGCCATCAGATAGAAACAGATTAGGGCCAAGAATCTGATTTATTATTTTTCTTAGACAGCTGTGTGTGAAACCCCACACCTTTGAAACCTTGTGGGGATATGAAAAATGACACACTGTGGCCTGTCCCTACAGCAGTGATTGCTTTGGGGAGGAGGTCCCAGGAAGGCATTTTAGGCAATAGCCAAACAGTAAATCAATTTAATTCCTTTTTTTTTTTAAAAAAATTTTTTATTTTAATCAGAAAATGGTAGTTGAAGCTAACTATTCCTTCTCCCTTCCTCAGTCTTCCCCTTTTCTCAAAATACGTAAGTGTGCTAATATTTCTGAGCACAAGGTGGCAGGATTAAGCTTCACTTTAGAGTCAAAAAGCACAAAGCTGTTCGAAATAAGTAAGATAAAAATGCTGTCATTATTCAAGAGTGCAAAATCAGCTATGATCAAGTAGTAGCTAGATAAACCTGTAAACAGGAAGAATTCAGAAAATAACAATAGCCAGGATAGGATATTAAGACTGTCCTGTTTTCTGAGAAAATGCTGTAAAGAGCTGTGTGGAAGATGATTTTTATCATTACGGGAAAAGATGTAAGAGCTTAGGGAGGAGAGACAGGTATACCTCAGAATAGTTATTAGCCTGGCATATGATGGCAAAGCAAGTCCAAATGCTGAGTCTAGGGCAACCTTGCTTCTCTTCGGYCACAGTGCTAGCCTGAATGCCAGGAAGTTTTAATTGAAATCAGGACATCTCTTGGAAAAAAAAATAAAATAGTTTCTCTAAACTCGGGAGTTCCTATGAACTCCTGATCCAGGCTATCCTTCCTCTAAGAGCTAAGAGTCCCAGCACTGCAAGCAAAATGTAAGCAGTTTATTCCTAAGCAGCTTAGCGGCGGGCGTGGGAGGACTGCTCGCTCCGTGCTCACCCCTTGGGGCACAGGGCGCTCCTGTGATCTTGCGGATCTTGTGGTCAGTACCTTAGTGCACCACGGATTCTGCAGTGCACTTCCCTAATCTGACACCTCAATTCCCAGAGATACTCTCTGAGAAGATATTCCTTGCACATTTGCCCCTTTTTAGATATTTACTGTAATTTATATACTACTTTTTTTTTTTTTTTTTAATGTATGGTGTGTGAGTGAAAGCTTCAGAGTGATAGAATTCAATTTCATGACAGTAGTTTAAAGGAAATACTTCCAGTATTTCTGCATCTGCAGATTTTGCTTCTTATATAGTGAGATGAATGTGCTCTAGTAACTTTATCTGTGGCAGATAAAAAATGGGTAAAGAAACTGAAAGGGGACAGAATCTCTAARAGTTCTCTCCCACCTGACTCAAAATCGGTTCTGCTTCACCTGGTGAGATGTTCACTTCAYCTGCACTCATAAGTGATCTATTTGTCATGCTTAACTGTCCTTCTCATGCAAAAGTTTTCACAATGTCAAACATGAATCTTCATTGCCACAAATCAAATCCATTATTTCTTGTCCTATCTGGAAGACAAGGCAAAAAGAAATTATTATCTGTCCTTTCACACAACCTTTTACACATTTTCAAGAGTGTTGTTGCAGCTCACTTCCATCTCCTGTTCATCCAACAAGCCTCTTCTTTCAATCCTGGCTCAGAACTCCTATTTTCCAGACTCTCTAGAAACTCTCTAACTTTATTGCACTTTCACATCTTTCACATGTTCTAGTTTCACCACCTTGAGGATGATATTTGTTATTGTGATTTTGCCAGAGGCTACTTATTTCTGGAGGATTGGTTGTGGCTTACCCTTAAGTAACAGCTCATAGGGAGCACTGAAGCAATTCTTTCCTTCTTTGTCTAATCTTGGAGAAAAAAAAAAAGTAAGAGAACGGTGTTAGCTCTATGCTGCAATAAAGTGAAGCTGCAATAAAGTCACAGTCCTATATAGCAATTCTTTGTATTGCTAATTGCCTCTAAATYAAGAATTTAAAGACTCCAGTTGAACCTATTTAGAAGCTGCTGAGGGAATGTTGTTTCCCTCAGTACAGCAGGCCAGCAATGATGTTTTGGGGTGAACCTTTCATTTTGTGCTCCTTGTTTTGCCTCACAGTCCATACCTGCAAGTTATTATTCCCTCCATCTACTTTAACTTGTACAAAATGATAAATTTAGGTGGAAATACATTTTTTTTTATTTAGAATTTGGCGTTTTACTAATATGTTTCCGCATCCAGTCATTTTTCCACGTTGTCACTGTGCAGTTTATTTGAGGAAGGTCCAACCCTTTTACAAAATGATGATCATACAACTCAGCAAGACTCCTGGGAGAAGCTTCTTACAGATGTGGAAAATCCAGACAGACTTTTTCTGTAACAAGTGATACGGCCACTTTTCAGAGTCCACTATAGCATTTAACAGTTATCTGTAGCTTGACATGCTCAGGGTCTTACAGATCTTTAACTCACAACATATTTGAATTAACTAGATACTTGGTTTGATCTTTGTGGTTTTGTCAAACACTTCCTTGTCATTTCTGGAAGAAACTGAAGAAAATAGAAGCAGAAATTGTGAATTACTAAGATCCAGTATGCTCCTACACAGGTGTATAGTGATGTGAGCTTATCATCTCAAAATTATTAAGCATTAATGAGAATTTATTGCCTTAAAAGAGCTGATGCCTTTGTGCTCCTCCAAGACAGAGAGATGAAATTAAGCCTCTTTATAAAAATTGTAAGTGGATTTGGCTGTAGAACAGTACCTTAAGCAGTGCAGCCACTTTCTGGGTTTTGAACTTTTACTTCTGTCCTGCTTTGAGTACTAAGGCTTTTGCTACTAATCTTTCTGTCTCTCTTTTTCTCTTAAGCACCTTTCCCCAAATCCTTTAAAAATCCTAACTTATTTTGAGCCTAGAAAACTGTCCCATAAAATGAAACATTACTGGCTATACTCTAATCTTCTGTTTAGCCAAAAATTATAAAACTTTTATCATCAAAATCTTTACTGCATTTTTTCTGAGCATTGCACTGCTTGTATACAAGTGCTGTGTCTTTGCACTTGAACATTTTTTTATGGWCTTTTCATGTTCTTATGCTGCATCATACCACTTTGTTATTCCTTGGGACTCCCATGATATTCCTTGTGTTTTATTTAGAAATGACATAATGCAGAACTTGGCAAGAAGGAGGAATATTCTGAGTGGAAGAAACATATCTGTACAACAATTTTGCTTAAATTTAAAAGAAAATTGATTTAAATAGGACAACACGATTGACAATATTTTCAATTATGTCTTTTTACCTAATCTTCAATCCATTTCTTTCAGGGAGGAATAAATCCGTGTTGTGGCTAGGCATGGCTGTGACTTTGCTAATAAGATGTACCCTGAAAGCAAAAGCACCCTTGCCCGTGCTGGATGGCATCCTCGCTGGATGTCGAGCCTGTGAGTGTGCTCGTGTTTCCCGAGGCCGGCGCACGCCGAAGAGCACTGAAACACTCRTTTAACTAATAAGCGCAACGTCAGATTGACTCCCGAGTGCTCCCCCAAAAAATGTATCCGCGGCTTGTTGTATATACAAMGATCCCTGCGGAGCTTTTCCTCCCTGGCGTAATCCCGAGGAATTCCTCCTGAGCCGCACACTTGGGATGCGCAGGGGGACGGGCGCTGACGGGCACACCTACGTTGCAGGCGGGTGCGCAGCACAGCGCAGGAGCGCAGCGCGGGCGCGCAGCATAGCGAGGTGCGCAGCACAGCACGGCGCACAGCGCGGGCGCGCAGCGCGGGCGCGCAGCATAGCGAGGTGCGCAGCACAGCACGGCGCACAGCGCGGGCGCGCAGCATAGCGAGGTGCGCAGCACAGCGCGGGCGCGCAGCGCGGGCGCGCAGCATAGCGAGGTGCGCAGCACGGGCGCGCAGTATAGCGAGGTGCGCAGCACAGCACGGCGCACAGCGCGGGCGCGCAGCACAGCTCGGTGCC